ACAGAGAGTGGAAAAGGAGTTCCCACAGAACCAGCAGCACATGCAAAGGCCCTGTGGCAGGAAATCACACCAAGCAAGCAGCAGCATGGCTGCAGACGCTGCTGGAGACATGGGCGGAAGCCAGGCCATGCCGAGAAGTGGGCCTTTAAAATGAGAAAGCCAGGAAACGTATGTATTTTTAGATATGCCTTCTGAAAAAATCATTCTGGCAGCCACTGGGAATGCAGACTGGAATGGGGGCCAGATTAAAAGGGAGAAGATCCAAGTGGCTGCAGAGAGATTAATAAGAAACCGTGAGCTAGTGTAGGTGAGAGGTCAAGATAACCTGGACTACAGGGGTAGCAGGGAAGATGAGATGTCTAAGACAGCAGCCAAGGTCTGCTTCTCCAAGTACATGGCACGGTCCTAACACTCCCTTCCAAGCCTGAGAATGCCAATCGTAGTAGCCACATGACCTCAGAACCGTCAGTGATGTCCTCTACGTAGCACTTACCAACAGGCCAGATGAATGTGATGAGTTCTACTGGCCTCCGGGCTGGACACCGTCAATGAGCCATAACAATTGTAGGGGAGGGGTCATCCAGTTGCACTCATCCATCTCCTGCCAATCCTAGAATCTAGAAAGAAAAAAAAAAAGTGGCTCATATACCTCCTCCAGGCAGCCCTCCCTGGCTAACCTCAACCACTCCCATGAACACATAACCTCCTCAGCAGTAAGGACAGTTTTCATGTATTCATAGGCATATTACTCCTGATATTACTTTTTTCATGGGAATATGTTCTGCTCCCTGTTAACCACAAACGTATGAGAGCCAGGCCTCCTCCTTCCTCTGCATTTTCTGACCAAGCCCAAAATACGGTATATAAACTGTAAAAGCTCTGTCTGCCTGCTGTAAACCACTAACATAGAACCAAGGAATCTCAGAGTTGGAAAACCTATAAGACCTTTGGTCTAACTCTCCCTCCCATGCCAAAATCGTCCTCTCTATTCTGTGACAGACAGCTAGTGGTCCAAGGACCAGCTTCGGGGCCAGAAACACCTGAATTCAAATCCCAGCTCTCTCCAGCTGTATGGCAATAAGCAAATTAGGCCAGGCCCTTCACCTCATGTGAATAATGGACACACTCATGATAATCTACATCAAAAGGTTGTTTGAGGGTGAAATGAGATACTTCTTATAAAATACCTAGCTCAGTCCCTGGAACACAGTACCTGAGCAGTTTTACTGATGTTATCGCCAATTCCATCGTTAGAGAAGTATAGATGAACCATGCACCAGTGGAGTCCCTCGGCCTGGCTTGCGCCCTCTTGCAATCCGGGACCCCTCAGGGGATGTCAGACTGCCAGTTTCTGCCCAATCCCTGCAAGCCAGGCTGAGGGACCCCACAGGTGTACAATCGGGGCCAGAGAGGGACCGTGTGAGGGCTCCAGGGTGAATCCGGCCCATCTTGTCCAGTCCTGATTGACTGGACCCCAGCAGCAAGCTCACCTACTGGTTGGAGCATCTGCTCAGCTTAGTTGGGAAGATAAACATGTACAGACGTATATACTGTGTGTGTGTGTGTGTGTGTGTGTGTGTGTATATATATATATATATATATATATATATATATATATGCAACCATTACGACTGGTTAACCAAAAAACTGGTGGCCCAGATGCTATGATGAGCATTAACCATCAGGGGGCAAATGCTCAATGCAGGAGCTGCCCCCTAGTGGTCGGTGCACTCCCACAGCCAGCTAACCTCATGCGGCAGCTTCCCCCAGCCTGCCAGCCCCTATCAGCCTGATCCAGGCATCCAGCCAACCTCCCATGGTCCCTCCTCCCCCCTGCATTGGATGAGATGGGCCCCAATGATTGCTGAACAGGCCAATGCACCCCACCCGTGCACGAATTCATGCACCAGACCTCTGGTGATCATATAAAATGTTAAGCACGTTAAGGAAAGTAACAAGAGACAATGGGGCACAAAAGGGCAACTAAGCGTACTTTGGAAGATGAGGATGGTGGAAGTGGAGATGATGGGTAAGCGGCAGCTCCCCAGGAGGGAGCAGGGAAATGTATGGCAGAAGCAGCAGCGTGCACAAAGCCAGGCAGGAAAGAATACGGGGTCAGAGAATTCACTGTGACAACAAAAGTTTATAATCACTGAACACTGCCCACATTCTAAAAACTGCACTATTGCGCCAAAACCGGTTTGGCTCAGCAGTAGAGCGTCGGTCTGCGGACTGAAAGGTCCCAGGTTCGATTCCGGCCAAGGGCATGTACATTGGTTGCGGGTACATCCCCGGTAGGGGGTGTGCAAGAGGCAGCTGGTTGATGTTTCTAGCTCTCTATCTCTCTCCCTTCCTCTCTGTAAGAAAATCAATAAGATATATATTTTAAAAATAAAAAAAATAAAAACTGCACTAATGTTTTACACACATCATCTCACCTTATCCTCAGCTAGGAAGAGATCATTGTCATTTTTCAAATAAGGAAACTGAGTCTCAGCAAGGTTTAAATCAGTGGTTCCCAATGGGGCACACGCCCCACAGGGGGAATTTGATTTTAAGGGGGGAAATTCGAGAATGAGTTATTAACAATTTTTTGCATTCTTATGGTTCTAGGGGCCTCATTTACAGCCTATTCATATACATTGTGACATATTTATGCATTTCAGTTCTCTATTGTTTTGAAACTTTGCTATTTTTTCTTGTCACTTCATATTATTATTTTCTTAACAATCTCGTAGTGATTTTTTTTCCTCCGTACTTCACCTGTCCTTTCTTTCGTTCTTTTATTTTTCTCTTTCATGGATGCCATGTTCTTTGAGACCAAGTTAATGGCCTTTTAGGCTTCCTCCCATGAATAGGAGCTCATTTTTTGAATAATAATTATGTCATGGGGCAGGGACATCAGGATTTTAGAGATGCTTAGGTGGGGCATGGCCAACAACAGGTTGGGAACCACTGGTTTAAATGAAACACTTGCCCAAAGGTGCACGGCTAGTCAATGGCACAGCAATACATGTGCACACCCACGTGCATGTGATTCCAAAGCCTGAGTCCGAGCCACTCTGACATGGCCAGAGTGCAAGGGAAGCGGGAGGAAGGAGCACCCTGTACAGGACTGTGTCCTGTGCCTGAGGAGTCATCCTGGGATTTCACGTCACCGGGACAGCTGTGGAAGCACTAATTCGAGGGCAAGCACAGAGGCAGAGGGGCCACGGAAGCAGTTACCCTGAAAGCACAGGCAAGAAGTTAGAACTAAAGTGGTGGCTGTGAGCCGAAACCGGTTTGGCTCAGTGGATGGAGCATCGGTCAGCGGACTAAAGAGTCCTGGGTTTGATTCCGGTCAAGGGCATGTACGTTGGTTGTGGGCACATCCCCAGTAGGGGGTATGCAGGAGGCAGCTGGTCGATGTTTCTCTCTCATTGATGTTTCTAACTCTCTATTCCTCTCCCTTCTTCTCTGTAAAAAATTAATAAAATATATTTTAAAATAAATAAAAAATAAAGTGGTGGCTGTGAGAATGGGAAGGAAGGCCAGGTTCTGTGGATATCGGGAGAATAACTGGGCTTGATGTCTTCAGCAAAGCAGGGAGAGAGGGGTGGGAAGCCAGAGCACTTAAGCCAGCTTCCTGTTCACGGCTGTCTTTTCATTTCTGCACCTTGCCAACAGCACACGGAGCATGCCGCCTAGAAGAGAGGAAATTCCAGCAAACGTTTGCTGCAAGTATTGGAGGAGTTCCAGGGGCAGCCTGGCTGTGAACGGTGAAGCCCTCCACTGAGACAGGAAGAACAAGAAGAGGAACAGGTGTGGGGGCCAGGAAGGTTGGGGAAGGTGCAGTTGGGGATGACCAGTAAGCCGATCTAAACAGATCTGAGCTCAGGAAAGAGGCCTGGTTGGAGCCATTAACTAGGTGGTAACCGACCCGCTGGCTGTAGTGAGTGGAATGGAAGGGCTGCAGACAACTGGGAAGGCTGTGTTAGAAACACCAGGAGAGCCCCAGGGGTGGCTCAGTCGACTGGAGCCCCCAGGAAAGGTTGCCGGTGCAATTGCAGGGTCCTTTCCCAGTGAGAGCACATACCTAGGTGCAGGTTCAATCCTGGGAGGCAACCAATTGATGTCCTTCTCTCTCTCTCTCCCCCTCTCTCTCTCTCTTCCTCTCCCCCCTGGGAGGCAACCAGTTAATGTCTCTTTCTCTTCCTTCCTCCCCTTCTCTCTCTCTCTCTCTCTCTCTCTCTCTCTCTCTCTCTCTCTCTCTCTCTCTCTCTCTCTTCCCCCCCCCCCATAAAAACATATCCTTGGATGAGGATTAAAGAAAAAAATCATGAGAGAAATCTTGGTAGCCAAGTGAGGACAGTAGATGGTAGATGTTTTCAAATCAATGCAAGGAAAGTTAAAAAAGAGAGGAGGGGAGGGGAGGGGAGGGGAGGGGAGGGGAGGGGAGAGATGAGCCCGAGAAGAGAAGAGAAGAGAAGAGAAGAGAAGAGAAGAGAAGAGAAGAGAAGAGAAGAGAAGAGAAGAGAAGAGGATGAGCTAGCTCTCTAACTTCCCAGCTGCCCCAAAGCGGGAAAGGGTCTGGCTAGCCCTGAGTCGGCCCCCGAGGAAGCTCTCCCACCAGAGAGGCGTCCCCGCCGGGCTCCAGCGGCCTTCACCCCGAGCAGGGCTGGTCTGCGAGCGCCGCAAGCTCTCGCCGCCGCCCGCCGGCCGCAGCGCCCGGCCCGGCCCTCCCGGCAGAGGCGCTCGGCAGCGGCTTCCTCACCTCGTCCCGCAGTCCCGCCCGCGCTCGTGCACACCCGCTCGTTGGCGCCGGAGGGTGCCTCGCCTCGCCCGCCCCTCCTCTCCCGGCCCCGAGCCCTCCTGCGAGGGCGTCCTCACCTGCCCCCACGCCGGAGGCTCCGGGCGCAGGTTCCCGGCGCCGCACAACTTCCAGCACCACCCCGGCTCCCCTCCCCGCTTCCAGGGACGCCGGGGGGTTGCCCTGCAGCGGCCCACAGCCACTTCCGGGAAGGGTAACGACGTCGCAACTGAGAGTCCCGCCTCCACCCGGAGTCAATAGGTCATAGAATGAGGGCTCTGACATTGGATTGGTTAGGCGTCCTGTCGGATCATGGAAGAGTGCTGCACCTTTCCCATTGCACAATGGGAGATGTAGTCCAAGATCCTCGATGTGGCTCCGCAAGGGACTAAAAGAAAGCTCTGAATTTAGGTATGGGGGGAATTCCTTCCCAGGCAGGAAAGGTGCATTCACTGCACTTATAGTAACGTGAATTACTAGGGCATTTTATTGTTCAATCACTTTTTAGTAGTGTGATTAATATCAAGTGAACAGTGCACTGATCATAAATAATCAACCCATAAGCCTCGAATCCCCCTCACTCCCCCTCCCCCCCAAAAAAGAAGAATGGCTGCATTGTGCTCTGATTAAATCAATGAGCACCTGACACAGAGTTAAAAGCCTAGTTTCTACTGTTCATCCTTTCACCAGAGCCTGGGCTCAGTTTGCATATCTGCAAAATGGGGATAATATCTGTCCTAACTATTTTGAATAGACTGTTTAAGAGGAAAAAGAGTGACATGGTGTATAACCCCTCCGCAGACTCTATTTGGCAGAAGGGTTGCTACTAATATAACTCCAAAGTGCTTTAGTTTTGCTTACACAGAGAACAAAAATCTTTCTTTCATATGTTCCCAACTTCCTACAGAAGGTTAAGAGTGGCAAAGACAACTCTGGCCATTATCAGTCAGAAAACTGGGGAACAGGAAAGTTAAGAGATGTTACTATAACCGGAATCGAGGTTCTGCTGCCTGCACCATGAAAAAAACAAACTCTTGAGACAGATGCTGGTGAAACCTAAAGAGGTCTGAGGGCTGAAGGATTCAAAGCCCATCTCTGCCTCTTAGTGAGGACAGAGGTTTTTCTGAGGAGGAGAGGCAATGCAGAACAAAGAGATCAAGGGAAGGGGGCTGAAAAGGTCTGCGTGCAGGCAGCTCAGTCCATTCTGATAAGGATCCTGAAACTGGCCAAACAATGGTCTGGTGTGCGTCCTCCTGCTTCTGCATCACTCTGGTTCTGTGTCGTCCTCGTTCTGTGGTTGAAGGCCAGCCAGGCTCCCAGAGCTGGGATAACCGAAGGCCAGTCTGCACCTTCTGAAGGGAGTGCCTGGGGTTCTTATAAGAGCAGGCCGTTTCTCTACGAGCTACACATTAGTCAGTTTCATGGGAACAGTGTCAAAAAACGGAGGGGTGGGTTACAAATCCCACGGTTACTTCACTGCCTGAAAAGGAGAATGCACACCTGGAGAAGCTCCTGATAAGGCCCATTGTGGAGGGGCGTCTGGCTCTCCTGAACCCCGCAACTACACGCCATTCAGAGCTGATGGCAGAATGGAAACCAGGTTGTTGTTCCTGTTGATCCCCCACCAGATTCCCAGAACGTAGTCCTCGTGTTTAACTTTAAACCTTGCTGTGGCAGTTCTGCCTAGACTGCCTTCATTCTGCCTGCACGTGGCAAATCCTCACTCCCCCTTCCTGTCCCCTCTCCTTAAGAGGCTCTCAGAGAAGCCAGAGCCCCAACTGGAAGGAACCAGAAGGGCTCACAGTTTACATCACAAACCTTGCACAAAATAGGGATTCAAAAAACCTTTTGTGGCCTTCCCTATGTTTAAGAACTTGCAGTCAATTGATTGGCTTTAATAGTCGTCAAAACTCTTAACTTTTGTCCCTTCGTATGTGTCCCTTGCTCGGTCAAGGGGAGAATAAAATGAGGGTCTTGGTGGAATTAATGGGATTACCTCACTCAGATGAGCAATTTGCATTTTTATCAGGTTTCCCTATAGGTTTGTACTCAGAAATGCAAACCCATTTTTAACGGCCCTCAGGCTAACATAATTAAGAAAGCAAGTCTTTGGGGGGAAGTAGCACAAATGACACACCAACGGATGTAATGCGCCCAGTAACGAGGAGAGAGACGGAACTTCACACGGTAGGTTTTCTTTTCCAGTCAGAGGTACTTAGGGGTGGTTTTTCAAAGACAGGGGAGGAAAATCAGTCTCAAATTTTATGCCCTGCCCCCAGGTCAGAAATTTCACTGTTAAAACACTTATTCTTGTTTCATGCTATTTACTTACAGTATACAAAATAATCAACCACATAATAAGAAAGAAAAACACTCACTAATCCTGCCATTTTAAAAAATTATATAAAGATGTGAAATGTTCCCTCTACACTTTCAATCCACCCTAGTTAATACCGGGAGCTGCCCATCCTCTCCCTCTGCTTTATTTTCCTCCATACAGTATGTCACCACCTGAAATACTGTATATTTACTCCTTTACTGTCAGTAAGTGCATGAGGGTGGGAGTTTTGTCCACTTTATTGTTGTATCCACAGTGCCTAAACAATGCTTAGAATGTAGTAAGCACTCAAAAAACATTGGCTGAATGAATGAATGAGTGAATGATGGGCTGAATGAATGAATGAGCAAATGAAGAAAGACATGAATCCCAACCCTTGGAGGAAACCACGTTTGGTTCCTGTCTATCAGAACTTTTCATGCTTATGTGGATGTAAATTTATACATAGACATGTATATACACATGTGCATACTTTTTGATTTTTATAGAAATGGGGTCATAATGTACTTACTGTTCTACAATGTGCTCTTTCATCTAACATGTCATAAACAGTTTCCAACGTGAATTTGATAAGAAGTTACTTCAGGCCTGGCCAGCATGGCTCAGTGGTTTGATATTTCCATTCCTGGTCAGGGCACGTGCCCAGGTTTTGGGCTCAATCCCCAGTGGGAGGGTGCAGAAGGCAGCTGATCAATGATTCTCTCACATCATAGATGTTTCTATCTTTCTCTCCCTATCTCTTCCTCTCTTAAATCAACAAAAATATTTGTTTTTGAAAGAAGTTACTCTATTCTGTTCTTCTTCTTGTTGTTAATCCTCGTCTGAGGTATTTTTTCCCCATTGCCTTTCCAGCATGGAAAAGAGGGAGGGAGGAGGTGGGAGACAGAGAAACATTGATGTGAGAGAGACACATCAATTGGTTGCCTCCAGCTGGCTCCCCAGTCAGGGTGGGAATTGAACCTGGTATGTGCCCTTGACCAGAAATGGAGCCCTTGACCCTTTGATAAGCAGGTGAATGCTCTATCCACTGAACCATCCCAGCCAGGGCATTCTATTCTTTCTCCTTCTTCTTCCTCTTCTTCTTCTTCTCCTTCTTCTTCTCCTTCTCCTTCTCCTTCTTCTTCTTCTTCTTCTTCTTCTTCTTCTTCTTCTTCTTCACATATTTTAATTTATTCCAGAGAGGAAGGGAGAGAGGGAAAGAAGGGGTGGGGGAGAAAAAGAGAGAGAGAGAGAGAGAAGAGAGAGAGAAACATCCATGATGAGAATTATTGATTGGCTGCCTCTTGCGCACACCACACTGGGAATGGAGCCCGAAACCTGGGCATGTGCCCTTGACTGGAACTGAACCCAGGACCCTTCAGTCCAGAGGCAGAAGCTCTATCTGCTGAGCCAAATAGGCTAGGGCGCCACTCTATTCTTTATAATGCTTTCATAGCATTCTATTCAATGAATGTCTCATTCACTTACTGATAATCAGTTATTTTGTTTTGAAATACTGTTATTCTTGTATTTGAAATACTGTTATTTTTATATTTGAAATACTGTTGTTTTTGTATAGAATTCTGGAATTGACATTGCTCAGAGTTTGGGTTTTTTTTAAATATATTTTATTGACCATTTACAGAGAGGAAGGGAGAGAGATAGAGAGCTAGAAACGTCGATGAGGGAGAAACATCGACCAGCTGCCTCCTACACACCCCCCACCAGGGATGTGCCCACAACCAAGGTATCGATACATGCCCTTGACCGGAATCGAACCCAGGACCTTTCAGTCCGCAGACCGATGCTCTACCACAAACCGGTTTCAGCTCAGAGTATGTTTTTTACATTTTAATAGACATTGCCAAATTTCTCTCTAAAAACGAAATGATTTTTTTTAAAAAAAGAAAAGAATAGAATAATTTACAGCCCAACCAACTATTTCACACCAGTTATTACCAATATGAGAAGCAAAATAATGAATAATGATGCTATCTACATGTTGATTTAATTACATTATTTCACTATGAATGAAGTTAAGCTTTTTTTCATGTTTATTGACCTTTTGAATTTCTTCTATTAATTACCTGTTTACGTCATTTATTCATATTTCTACCAGGTTGTTTGGGGGGGAGGTTATTGACTCCTTGTATTATAGCAATTCACTTTTTGTCTCTCTATTGTGTGCCAAATGTTATCTTCTAGTCTGTGACTTCTGACTTTTCCTGAGTGCTTTCTCTCCGAAGTTGTAGTACTGATAGCATCAGCCGCCACCTCATTCTGTGCGGTGCCTGTGCCTTCATTCCGCAGGGCTGGGGAGAACGCCTGGCGCACAGTGGGTGCTTAATAAATGCAGGATGCAGGACTGACATTGGGAGGTTGGTACCACTCTGTGCCAGTGGGTGCTCCCGCCCCGCCAAGGCCAAGGCCACGGCCACCTTGCCCGCCAGGTGCTGCAGGGTAGACTCCAGCTCAGCAGAGGGCATCCCAGACCCCTCACCAGCCCCGGAAGCTGGCTGCTGCCCGGGAAGACTACACTTCCCAGCCATCCCACGGAACGGGAGACCTCGGCTTGACAGCCACCCCACAAGCCTCTCCGCCGCCCAGCCTGCCTGGGAGTGGGAGCCTGAGGATGGTGGCCTGAGCGGCCGTGCAGCGGCAGGAGCCCATGCCTCTCCCCGCCGCCGGCCTGCCGGGAGCCCCAGGACCCCGGCGCCGCCGACCGGCCATGCTCACCCCCTCCAGCGCCCGCGGGGGGCGCAGGCCGGCCGCTCCCCGACCTGTGCGGAGGCTGCACGCCTCTGGCCAGATGTAGCCGAGATCCGGCTCCCCCTCGCGCTCTCTGCGATCGCTCCTGCCGGCCCACCGCGGGGCCGCTGGTCCCAGGCCCGCGG